AGAGAAGGAGATTCCACAACCTCCCTGGGCAGCCTGTTCCAGTGCTCCGTCACCCTCAGAGGGAAGAAGTTCTTCCTCATGTTCAGACGGAACTTCCTGTGCTTCAGTTTGTGCCCATTGCCCCTTGTCCTGTCGCTGGGCACCACTGAAAAGAGCTTGGCCTCATCCTCCTGACACCCACCCTTCAGATATTTGTAGGCATTTATAAGGTCCCCTCGCAGCCTTCTCTTCTTCAGGCTGAACAAGCCCAGTTCCCTCAACCTCTCCTCGTAGGGGAGATGCTCCAGTCCCCTCACCATCCTTGTAGCCCTCCGCTGGACTCTCTCCAGTAGCTCTTCATCTTTCTTGAAGTGGGGAGCCCAGAACTGGACAGAATACTCCAGATGGGGCCTCACCAGGGCAGTGTAGAGGGGAAGGAGAACCTCCCTCGTCCTGCTGGCCACACTCTGCTTGATGCACCCCAGTACCCCATTGGCTTTCTTGGCAGCCAGGACATACTGCTGTGTACACCTCCCCATGATCAAAGAAGCCAAAATTTGACCGATGGCACCAGTCTCTGAGCCACCTGTTAACCAGGTGAGTTTTCCTGCCCCTTTCAGTGCTGTTCCCTGCCACTGATGGGATGGAGGAAAACACCACCTGCGCCCCTGATCCCTCAACCAGTCGCCCCAGTGCCCTGAAGTCCCTTTTGATGGCCTTGGGACTTCTTTCTGCGATCTCGTCCCTGCCAACCTGCATTACCAAGAGGGGGTAGTAATCAGAAGGCCGCACCAGACCAGGGAGTTCCTTGGCAACATCCCTAACCCGGGCCCCAGGGAGGCAGCAGACTTCCCTGTGGGATGGGTCTGGTCGGCAGATCAGGCCCTCTGTTCCCCTCAGAAGGGAATCACCTATGACAATGACCCTCCTTTTTTTCTTAGTTGAGGCAGTTGTAATACGTGGGGCTGTCTGACTGATAATGCACTGATAATGTAGAGTCCAGGTTTGCATGTTAAACCTTCCGTGTTGCAATTGAAACTGGTAAGATGTCAGTCCTGAACACTTCTGAAAAATAGGTGTTCTTTTCCTTTTGCTGACTTGGTATTATCAGTCTTAACAAAAGGGTGAAGTAGCACTTTGCTAACCTTGAGCATGTTTTGCAGCTGGAGAAGAAATATTGATGAAAGGACTTTCTGGTGTCCGGGATAATGCATGGCACACACTTACTCTCAACATTCAGGTAAGAACATGGCCAAAAAGCTAGAAAAGCAGTTATGAAACTTCCAGTCCTAAATGGTTTAAATGAGTAACTAAAAGTAGTCCCAACTTGGTGAGGAAAGTAGTCCCAAGCTGTATGTTAAATACACTTGTGCACCTAGCTGGGTGTGACATTGGTGCAAGTAACTGAAAGGCTTTAAGTTCCTCTGCTGAATGCCTAATCCCTTTGCCTAATGTAACCTTTGCAACTGCAATGCGGCGTGAAATGCGGGGAAGCTTGAATCCTAGCTGGGGAGATCTTCTAAGGAAGCAAACTCTCTTTTAAAACTATGCACTGAGTCTTTCTCTCCCCCTAAAATGTCAGTGAGTATTAGAAGCTGCTTTTTGTCTTTTGTGCTTTCACATTGCAAGACAAAGGGGCACTCGTACCTGAGGCATTCACTGGAATGGATGTACTTTAGTTTTGGCTTTTGTACACCCACACTTATGACAGCGATTGCATCTGTAAAGTGGGCCAAGACATTTGCTAACCTGAGTGGGGTGCTGAAGATGGACATAAATCATTTAAAACACAGAACAGTGGTGGTAATTTTAAAATTATGATACTACAAACTTCCACCTGTGGTGTTAAAGTATTTTGTATCAAATATGCCTTTGATGTAATGACAGAATTTCAGAGCCCTTGTACTAACTCCTTGAAAGGCATTCTTTGCTTTTACCCATGTCTGTAGTTGTCTTTCGGAAATACAAGTAAGCTGAAGTACTCTTTTTTTTTTTTTTTTTTTTTTTTTCTAAATACTGTTTAGTGAAACACTGGCAAGGTAAATCATAACTTTTCCTTGAAACTAGTTTTAATGGCAACATGATACTTGAAAGTTCTGCTGTGCCCTCTTCCTCTCAGCTTAATGACTAAAATACATCTCTCTTTCCTTTTGACGTTTGCCTAATTCTGCAGAATCAGTGCCAGGTGTACTATATGCCCTTAAAACAGTTGGGAGTTTGAGGGAGCCTGAGACAAGTGGAAGAGGAAATGCAGTTTACCTTTCAGATTCTATGCTGAGTTTGCAAAGCTGTGTGGTTAGGGGAAGATGGGCCCTGTATATATTGACTGTAAAGGCATTAGATCTGTTTTACAGAGCTGATAGGCACTGGAGGATTCTACGCAATATTTAGAAGTGCCTCTGCATGGTAGCTGTGAAATGTAGTGGAAAGTTGACATCTTTTGGCTACATCTGTTCTCCCATGGGAGTAGGCTCAGTGTCAACACAATCACTGGATTTTACAAAGCTAACTTTTTTCCTTTTTTTTGACAGGGCGATTCTGCCTCAGGACTGTTAAATGGTTATCCACTCTGGGAGAATGTCACCATTTCTAAACCAAGTAACGGCTGGGCTGCTATTGGAACTCTCTCGTTTGAGTTTGCACAGTTTGACAACTTTCATGTTGAAGCTAGCTGAGGTGGCTTTTGCATTTGGAGAACCAAGTTCTCATATTACTTTAATAAAAGCCAGTTCAGACTTCGAGGACAACTTCATCCCATGCTGAGATTGATCTGTTGGCAAGGAATCTGAATTCTGTCCTTATTATTTGTTAAAGGTTTACTTAGGTATCAATATGACTGTAACTTTATCTGCTGGTTGCTATGGGATTTTGCTATTGGATTTTTGGGGGTAAATCTTATTTCAAGGTAATGATGGAAACAAAAATAATGTTATTAAAAGAGATTTAAATCTAACATATTAACTTCCCAGCACACTTTTAAGATAACTTTAGAAGTTAACAGAAGACAGAGGCATCTCGAGCTGCAGTTTTAACACTTCCATGGTTGTGTCTATTCCTTTCACTCTGAAAGAATTAAATGCCAGTAAGCCTTATGAGCCAGTGGCCCCATACTTTTATAGTCTCTCATTCTCAGATTTCATTTGGATGAAGTACCTAGTTTTTCTATAGGAAAAAAAAGATATTTTGTCTGTTTTTCTGCTGCAGTCTGAGGCTAGACATTACAGTACTTGAAGTGCATTTGATTGCTTTGTCCTGATTACTTCTTCCAACTTTCATTGCCAGCCTTAACATAGATCATATTTTCAGTGGAATGGAAATGTGCCTTGTGACTGATTAGGCAGTGCAGGATGTGTCTTACTTCTAAACTACCTCCTCTTTCCAATGAAAGTGTTGAAATGGATGAAGAGATACCATAACTTCTGGGGCTTTTTTGCCTGGTGTACTCTGCATCATGGATGCTGGCAAGCAGAGTGCTTACTTCTGTGTTGGTTCACATGCGAAAAAACTGACCTTTTGTTCCTAGAAACTTGGGCAACCATTTCTCACTTTTGATAGATCTAAAGCTTAGAGCAGAAAATAATTAAAGCATTGCAATATTATTTACCTTATTATATTAGTGTAGCACAGAGGAGATATGCATACTGTCACATCCTGGCATAAAATAAAATTAAAAAAAAGTAGTCTTTGTCCTTAAAAGCTTGCAATCTAGTCATAAGGTCAGTGACAGCAGGTGGATGCAGATAGAATTGTTTAGTGTGCCAGGCAGTGGTGCTGACCCAATAGTGTCTGTTTTTAAACTTTTCCTAGGCATCACAGAGTAAAGCTCAGAGGAAATTTCAGGTCTTTGGGAGAGATTTTTGATTTGCTGTTGCTTTATTGTTGTTTTTTTTTTTTTTCCCCAGGTTACTGTGCTACAAAATAAAAATTCATTGAGAATATAGTGAGGTACTGGATGGGATTAACATCGCACACATTCCAAATTCAGTTGGCTTCTGAATTTTTCTTGTTTGATGTTGGTCAGTTTGAATGACGATTATGTCTGCTGCCGCAGCGAAACATGCTTCTTGTGTCCGTCTACTTTTCACATTCACATCTTATTTAATTGACAAGGAAGTAGTTCCACAAACTTGATAGGGCACTAGTAACTGTATGAGGCTATCTGTAGCAGGCAATATCTTATCTTGAGAAACAGATTTGCAGTATACTTTGATTTATACAGATTATTATTCTGATCCACTTTATTTTGAAGGCTGATTCCAGTAAGTGTTAACTTCAGTCTTCGAATGTACAGTTAATGTAATATGAATCATTACTAGAAAATTTTTATGAAGTTTATCTTGCAAATTATCTTTTGGAGAAGAGATCTCAAAATTCCATCTCTAAGAAGTAAAAATGTTTTATCTTTTAGCTGTTAGACTGATACTGCTATTGATTGGTTATGAATCATTCATATGTGCAAGTTTCATACATGCTAGTAACCTTGACAAATGATCTCAACCACTGAACGTTAAAAATCTTGTGGAAGGCTTCCAAATATTGAGTAACTGTTTACGTAACTGGGTGAAAAATGAAAGCCATTTTTCCACTTCAGTTTCATTTACTGGTTGAAGTATGGATGCAAATCTGTTCATTACTTGCTTGATTTCAGAATGGATGTCACTGGTAAGTCCAGGTGTGAAGGAATCTAATTTTAGGTCCTCATATTCAAGTAATATGAGCATAGGTGAAGTAGTTCTCAGAATAAACATATTTTAGCTGTGATGGATTTTCCTATTGGGATGATTCTTGGAGACTTCCTGGCAACTTGTGTGGCTGTAAGCAGTGTTTGTGTGAGAGATCAGCAACGATATAGTTATTTTAAAGGAGCTGTCCAGTTTTTTTACCTTTTAATGCACTAGTGTAATAAACTGTACTGTTGTATTGTGTACTAAACACAATGTATTTTATCACTGGAAGTGTTGATTTTTTTCTAATCTTAATTTATACTGTTAGAGGATTAAACTGTTATGAACAGAGTAAGTGATTCAATGGTGATATAATGTTATTCATGTGTTTATGTCTGTAATTCTTCACCCTTCAGCAGTCTGTAATATGTTTGGCAATAACAAGCTGTCAGGTCTTTCACTGAGGGGTGGATTTATGTTGTTGATTGTAAACACTAATCATTCTAAATGGACAAATAAAACACTTAAAACCTATTTATTTTTGCGGAATGCTTCTGTAAATGGGTCTTGGTTTTCTCCAGTAAGAAAGCTGACATTTTTTTTACATTATGATTCCTGATAAATATGCTTGGCATTAGCTTAATTGGGTTGGAAGGGTTTTTCTGAAACTCTGAATAGTCAAACAGTCCTCATTAACAAATATCTCAAAATCTGTATGCATTAGGACTTGTGCTGTTGATAAAATTATTTTTTTATAGCACTCAATACATGTTTTTCTGCTTTCTGTTTTTTATTTTTTTTAATTTAGTTAAGGGAATTAAATTGTATTTGAGGGCCAGTCATGCAGAACTGCTCAGTACTAAGGTCTTGTGAGATGTAGCTGAAAGTCTGTTTCTAGATATGGAAACAGACAGCGCTGTACAGGTATACTTCTGAAGTTCAAATCAAACTTCTTAAACTACTTTGAATATCCTTTTGAATCTAGCTTCAAAGGCAAAAGGCTGTGCTGCCTTCCAGTGAGACCTGAACAGGCTGGAGAGTTGGGCGCAGAGGAGCCTCATGAAGATCGATGAGGGCAAGTGCAGGGTCCTGCACCTGGGAAGGAACAACCCCATGCACCAATACAGGCTCAGGACTGACCTGCTGGGAAGCAGCTCTGTATAGAGGGACCTGGGAGTGCTGATGGATGACAGGTTAACCATGAGCCAGCAGTGTGCCCTGGCTGCCAAGAAGACTAATGGGATCCTGGGGTGCATCAAGAGGAGTGTGGCCAGCAGGTTGAGGGAGGTTCTTCTTCCCCTCTACGCTGCCCTAGTGAGGCCTCATCTAGAGTACTCTGTCCAGTTCTGGGCTCCCCAGTTCAAGAAGGATGAAGAGCTACTGGAGAGAGTCCAGCGGAGGGCTATGAGGATGGTGAGGGGACTGGAGCATCTCCCCTACGAGGTGAAGGTGAGGGAGCTGGGCTTCTTCAGCCTGAAGAACAGAAGGCTGAGAGGGGACCTTATAAATGCTTCTAAATACCTGAAGGGTGGGTGTCAGGAGGATGGGGCCAGACTCTTTTCAGTGGTGCCCAGCAACAGGACAAGGGGCAATGGGCACAAACTGAAGCACAGGAAGTTCCGTCTGAACATGAGGAAGAACTTCTTCCCTCTGAGGGTGACGGAGCACTGGAACAGGCTGCCCAGGGAGGTTGTGGAGTCTCCTTCTCTGGAGGTGTTCAAAACCCACCTGGACAAGGTCCTGTGCAGCCTGCTGTAGGTGACCCTGCCTTGGCAGGGGAGTTGGACTAGATGACCCACAGAGGTCCCTTCCAATCCCTAACACTCTGTGATTCTGTGAAATGTGTTCCTCCCCACCTCAACCTTAAGGGTTCAGCTTTAAAAGGGGGGAGAGAAATTCCCTAACGCTGTCATGTTTTCCAGAACATCCTGGCAGTAGATACAAATCCCCTAGAAATACGGTCTTCCAGGGGCCAGGTATGTGCTACCACCTACACAAACACTGCATCAAAATCAATTCTGTCCCTTCTCTGCCATCCCACCTTTGAGGTTAAACACGATGAGCAGTTCTTGGGATTTTCAAATTCCTGCAAAAAAACAGGACTGGTTTGCTTTAAAATTAAAGGAGACTCTTACTTCAGGCTACTGATGATGGTTCTGTTTGCAGACATCTCCTGGCTTCAGTGGATCAACAGCAAATTTCTAGTTCAGTATTTGATTTGGAGTAGTGGCGGTTTGCTCTTTCCTTATTGGATCAGTTTTATTGTATGGTAGCAGCAGGTTGGTGGTTTTCACGTAATGATTTTTCATTGGCTTACTTGAAGATTGTGTCTAGAGTCCCTTTTCAGGAGAGGTGAGCATATTGTGGAAGTAGCCACCATAATTATTGCTGCGTTTGATGATTTCAGCAGCATGGCCAAAAAGGGACAATGCTTGGAGACCTTATTATCCTCACTTTGGTACTTTGGGGTTTTTTGGGTTTTTTAAACCCCCTTATAAGTGCTGCGTTCATGCAAGTCTAGCACATGCTAGGAGTGTGTGGGGGGGAAGGCTGTAAATAACCCCTAATTTTAAAAGACCTTCCAGGCTTGTAGCAGAATCACCAGGGAGCTGTTTTAAGGTTTTGGGCATGTTACACTTTGATACTTCATGAGAAGAAATATCATGTGCCAATTAATGTTAGGGCTTGCTGAAACAGAGGAATAAAATGCAAATGATTATCTGTTTTCTTAACAAAGTTATCTTAGGTAAAGGTTAAATGCTTTTTGTGTGTGGCTGGAGCCTTAGCAATCATGCTGCCCACACTGGTAATGCGTGAAGAGTTCGCGTGAGCAAGCTCCTCTTGCCATTGGATACGTTCCTTCCATTTATGCTCAAGTGTCACTGAAACAATAAAGGTGGTGTTCCTAGAAGCTGTGTTTTTAAAAACCTCCTACTAGCAACTGAGCAGAGGAAGATGTATTTTGGAGCAGTGTTGCCAAGCTTTCACTCTGTGCTAAGATACTTGTGTGT